AACACAGCAGCTTTGTCTAGTTGCACTTTTTAAAGTAAAACTTTACTTTTGGAAAGTAAATGACACCACATATTTAAGTCGTTTATTTATCACAAGTCATCTTTATCACACATCACAGGTTTTCCTGGTATCCTGCAGCCCTACTAACAACATGCACGTTCTGGTGCATCCAAACGAAACCCACAAAGCTAGTTTTCATCTTGTAGTTAACTTTTTAAAGCTGTTGGTGGTCCATCAGTTAAATATGAATGGAAACCACATGAATAAAATCAAGCTGCTAATATGACCCCCTGTCTACACTAATCTAGAATCTGTGCAGCATCTCCAGATGTTTTTAATTTAGCATTCAGTGTTTAATTACTTTTTAATTTTTAAGATGACACATTCCTGTTCTGTTGCTCATTTCATAGCACAAACAGATTTTCTTCTTCTTTAGTCAAGCATCGTTTTTAAAGAGCAAATCAACGGTTGTCAAATGTACTATAACAAAGAGGTTTTTGAAACTGTGGCGCTTTTCTTGAACAAAAGCTCAAAGCGTCTGGTCGATTCACACCTTAATTGATTTTCAGACCAAACATTGTTCTTGCCCTGTAGCCACCACCGGGCGATGACTTATAAAGTACTCCTCCTCTCAAACAGCACCTGGTAGATCTAGTCACTAACTGCTTGATTAGCTGCTACCTCATGAAATCCTTTTACAYGGAGACAAAAAGCCCAAATTGAAGGTTTCATTACAAAAAGCTGTCTGTGCCATGAGATATATTCATAGTCCTCTTTGTAACAATGCTCTCACTGTAGGTTGTGAAGGCAGAGGTGCATCATTATCATCATCATCGGAGTAAACTAACTGAATTATATCTCCTCCATGTTTTATCCTCTGAACGCAGGGGACAGTTATGATGATGAGTCAGTTTGCTATTTTACAGCTTCCCTGGGAAAAATATAGGCTGTGCAGTGAGACCATTTGTCCCTGAGCTTATTTTACATGTTCAAACTACAGAATGTGGACAACRGCAGATTACAGGTTTATTTTAAACCTGTCTGTCAAAAGAAATCTTTCATTTTTTGTAAAGTCTCACGGAAAAAAGAATTTTGAGGTCAACAATTTTCTTAAGTATCGCTTGTTACATTTTATGTGAAGTTTTGAATAAAGATCATTTTATGCTAATTAGGAACAGTTCTTTAGGTAAATTCTTATAACGTAGCATTAACTCCTGTAAGAACTTGAGGTATTTGCCCTTGCAGTAAGCCTTGGTTGTGACTCTCATCTACTACCATCAAATTTAAATGTCAGTGGTTGAGTTGGTGTGCTTTTGTGTATGTGTGTGTTTGAAGGTCAGTTACTGTGGCAGCCATCTTAAATTTGGGTTAGCTCCAAAGGGTATTGGATTTCCCATGAGTATTTCCTGCAGGTTTCAATAAAATCCAACCAGAATGAGAGATTTTATTCAGGGATGCACAGTAAATTTTTTTAAAGAACCACTACCGATAACTTTCTCCTAATGGCCGATAACTGATAATAACAGATAACATGCCAGGAGGTAAAAAGATAGTGAGAAAAGTGGAAGATCATGACATAAGACCAAAACCAAATGACTGTAAATTCTATTATTTAAAATAAACTCTTAACATGCAAACATTTCCTAAAATATATCAAACAAAACAATTTCTCAAATTAACATCTATTTAAATAAGACTTTAATAATAAAAAAGACCTTTAAAACAAATACGCACAAAGAGAAAATATGCATTCCATTCGTTCAAAACAGATAATGCACTAACAAGTTAGATTCAAAGTTTGTTTTTTATTATTATTAACTTAATATATAATGTAAACTATTTTTTTAGTCTGAAACAGTGCTTCTGAGATGTAAAAACAAAAATAATGCACAAATGACAACCTGTCAAAGTGTGAATGCRTTAGCTGGAAGACGCAGAGCAGCAGCAGCAGCTCGACATGGTAAACCATGACTAACAAGGTGATAAAAGCCTCAGTCTTCGGCGAAGGGCAAACGGCTGGTTGTCGACTTTTCCATCATTAAATTGCGTGAGATCTGCATCCTCTCTGGCATTTTTTTTTGGATTTGTCAAAGGCCTCAAAAATGGATTTAAGTCCCGACGAGTTCTGGAACACTACCTTGTTGTTAGCAATTTCAGCAGCACGGACTCTGTGCTGCGTTCAACAGACATTACATGTTCCCAATTTGGGAGTAGTTGTTATGACATTTTTAGACATATAATTCTGAAGTTTGTGTGTAACATACTGTACATGGTTAATTGGTAAAATTATATCAATAATTATTAAAACGACTGATTGTTTTCCAGCGTGGAATATTCCAATGATTTTTCCAGTGAGATAGTTGTTTTCTCCGAAGCCACKTGAGCATTGCGCAAGATAGTGAGTGGCTTGACCAAAAAGGATAAAATAAATAAGCACACTCACTGCCGCACCGGCAAATATGTACATATCTTATTGGTTCTGTTTGTTGTGAAATCAGACCGATAAATATGACATAATTCCCTGACATCAGGCCAATAATTATTGTGCACCCTTAATTTTATTAATAACCAGACACTATAAAGACCTGATGAACTGTACTCCCAGCTTTCCCCCCACCTTGTCTGTGGCTAGACAGACCAACACTTTAAAGATATTTATTTTATTTGTAGCTTGAATGATTGTTACAAATGAAAGGGCATTTCGAAGGACGGAGCGTATGAGTGGTTCATACTCATCAAACCATTGGGTGACCCCTTGAGACCCATGAATGGTTGTATTGTCATCCTGAGARAGAACACTTCCATCAATATAAATCCCAACATAAAGGTGATAAATGGGAGTTTTGTATGGATTTATGGTGACTCCCTCTACCAGTATGGAGTTTGACTGTGTGAAAAAGCTCCACTCTACACCACATCCCCTCACTGTAGGTGTCAAGATTTCAGGGCTCCTGTGTACTTGCCCATATGTCAGGAATATGGTGACAGGTGATTTATCTTGTCCTTATGCACCACTGAGCTTTCAAAAGTTCATTCATCTTTGTAATGAACAGTTTATGTACTGCAGCCCCACTGTAWTATCCCTTCCTATGAGAGTGTCAGCTGACTGTCCTTGTGGACACAGTGTGAGCGTGTCCTGCACCCTTTCCCGTCATCTGAGGAAGACTTGCTGTTTCTCTCTTTTCTAGACACAAAAGAATGGGGATCATGGGTAAAGAAGGGCTTTGAAAACAGAATAAAGCTTACAAAAAATAAATTCAAAGGTGCTCAACTGTCTGCCCTCTCCCTTGTGCTGACTTTTCTGTTGCATGCACTCTCATTCTCAATGGACTTTCACTTCCACTCTGGTGGCGCAGCACCTTCCCACAGGGTGTTGAAAGGTGTGGGTTTTAAATGTGTATTYGTGCTTTACAACATATTTCACAGCAGTCAGCAACAGTAGGCGCTGAAACTGTAATTTCCAGCCCACTTTGTTTAAAAGACGTGTCACGTTTATCAGTCTTGGTGAGTAGAGCTCCTGCCACCCGTGTCCCAACAACGAGCCRTCCTTCATAGTCAATCAGTTTCTTTTCTTTTGCCATTTTTATACAAACTCAGAACTGACATGGTGTGCAAAGCGTTTAAATCCTTGTAATGGAGGACAAGTAGATGCTAAGTGCTTAATTGTTTCGTGCACTTGTTTTTCTGCCGTCACTTATTCGGATTGTTTTTCAAGCCTTTTGTCACGTCTACAGATTTCAGGGTTAACAAAATTACAAAGCTGAGTTTAACTGTTGTGCCTGAGTTTTACAAAAATGTTTTTTAATCCAATGCCCACTTTTTAAAAAAAAACATCTTTTGAGGARATTGTATTTTCTCTGCACAGATTTGACTATAATTCTCCCAAGTGATGAGGTCTGACACGGAGTTGAACCCGTCGGCCTTGGTTTAACTCTGAAAGGCAGCTGCAGCCCAGAAAAAGGAAAACCACGCAAACCGCAAACCTAATCCACGCYGAGCAAGATGCTACTTTTGCCCCAAAGGGTTTTCAACTAACTTTTTATACGTTTGGAAACTTTGAGTTAGTAACAGAAAACACTTATTCCCAAAGACTTGAGTTTGTAGGAAGGTGTTCCAAATAAACTAAAACATACTGCACATAAACCAAAAAGAAGGAACATGACGGGGTGGGGAAGTGAAGACTACAAATTATTTAGATGTGTCCAATTATTCATGATATTTTAAGGTTCATTTATTGTATGAAATAAAAAAAATACAGTTCTAGAACTTGGATGATTGTATGCAAATAAATGGCACACCCCTAACTTCACACAGCATATATTCTGGGTTAAAGTGCCCACGACATCCAATTTTTGTAATAAATAGGAATGCATTTTTGGAAAGATAACCTTAATAACATTGCAAGACAAATTTTACACTGCTGAGATAAACAGTTGAGATATTTGCATGTGAAATAACAGGAAGTGATGTCAAAGGGGAATGTCTGCATGTGAACAGAGCATTGCTACAACAGCTGACAACCCAAGACTGTAGAAAATAATCTGCTTAGATTAGTTTGAGTCACTATCAGAGAGGGATGAAGTCAAAGTTCAATTATTGTTTCAATAAAGAGAGACCAGGGAGTTCTTTTTCTTAAAGTGTTCTCTTTTGAAATCACTTCCTGTTTCACTTTGGCTGAGCCAAGTTCAAAAGTAAATATGYCAGCTGTGTGACAGAATGGGTAATTTTGTGTATTATGCCAAGTTTCTTAATTAAGACGTTTTCTTTGACTTTTTGTATTTGAAGGATATGCACGTTACAGGCACTTTATCTGGTTTGTTTTCTTCTCCACAAAAAGAAAAATAAAACATTTTGCTTCACACTTGGCAGTGCAGTTCAACAGCTTTAAGAGGAATAATTGGAGACATCTAATATCAGAGGTCATGGTGTAAAAAAAAAAAGATYGAGGGTGTTAGAGTGAATAGTGTCCGTTTACAGAGCAAATTTGATAAAGTATTTACCTCTCTGTTGAGCCTTGTGTTTTGATTTAGAGTTTATATTTTTTATTTTTAGGCTGATGCGATGGGTCATACCTCACACTCCCTGGAGCCAGAAATTGTGCAAGTGCAGGAGCCGGTGCCATTGCCCAGCACCTCCAGTGCCTCCGGSGTGGCAGCAGGGTTGTAGCTCATGTAATACTCTTGGAGTTGGGAGCTGAGGTTTTGCTCTGGCTCTGGGCTCTTTTTGCGACGCCTACGCCCAACCATGGATCGCTGCTGCAGCAACCTGGTAGCGCCTGGGTAACGCCGCCACAGCACATAAATAATTGTCAAGATTAGCGACATGGTGAAGAAAAGTGCCACGCTGCCCACTACTACTTTGTGCAGAGTCATGTGCTCCATCACTGGGGGCGATGCGTGAGTGGGCCGAGTGCGGACCACTGTGTTCCTAGGGTCTTTGCTCATATGCCCTGGAAAAGTGGGATGTGGAATAGGTCGAAGTCTGAACGGTGGGATAGGGCCGAAGGTACTAGGTGGTAGAGAAGTCGGAGAGCCACTAGTCGGAGCATAGGTTGGTTCAGCAGTGGCTTCAGAAATCAGCTCTGACATTGGAGACGACGTTTCTGTCATAAAGTAATCATTTTCCTCACAAATCCCATGGTTCCTCGTGGCTTCCATAATCTTTTCTCCCTGGAGATGCTTTGGGCTGCTGCAAATCATAGTGGTGTCCTTGGTTCCCCGGAAGTTTCTCAACCAAGCGACGAGTGGGCAAATCCCCGTTCCACAATCCCACATGTTTCCAGCGAGGCTGATGGAGGTGAGGGAGATCCATGCTGACACAGCCTCCTGAGACACGTTGGACAACTTGTTGGACTCCAGGTTTAAAACTTGAAGGTTGGGCAAACAGTGAAACACAGCCGGGTCTAGCGTTTGGATTTCATTTCCAGACAGATCCAGTTTTTGAAGTGTGTACCAGGTCCAGGGAAGACCCTGGTTGACCACTCTAATGCGATTCCACTGCAGGTAGAGTGATCTCAGATTGGCCAAGCGTGGAAAGAGAAAAAAGTTGATTCTCGAGAACTGGTTGTGCTCCAAATGCAACTCCATCAGCTTCTGTAACCCCAAAAAGGTGGTACGGGTGAGAGCTTTGATTCGATTGTACCCCAAATCCAGAAATTCCAAACTTCGGCACTCTAAAAACGCTCTAATTGGAATGTTGGAAAGTCCATTGGAGCGTAGGTGAAGATTCTGTAATTTCCGTAAGCCATGGAATTGACCTGGCTGTAAAATTTCCAGTTTATTGTACGACAAGTCCAGACTGCGAAGATTGGGAATGCCGTGGAATGTTGAATTATGCAGAGATGTAATCCTGTTGGAGCTGAGTATTAGCTCTTTTAGCCTGCGAACTCCCTGAAATGCTCGACTGTCGACAGCTGATATCTGATTATGGTCCAAGTATATCCAGAGAAGCTGGCTGAGGTGAGCAAACTGATAAGGTAGCAGGGTGTGCAGTTCATTGTAGCGCAGTGACAGGCCCTGGCAGCCCACTGAGATGTTTTCTGGGACATCTAGAAATCCAGATGAGTCACAATGAACAGTTTTTCCCTCGCAGCGACAGTTGTTGGGGCAGGTGCGCTCACCAAAACTGAACAACAGGGGAGCTCGCAAGAGGAGGAGCAAAGGTAGAAGGAAGTGCATCATCCGTCCATCACCGATCAAAGGACCTGAAAGAAAACAAATGAGAGAGAGAGATCAACAAAATTACATACTTTTATGTGTCAAAGAATCCCAACTCCCAATCATGAAGTCCGATTTTAAAATGGCAAAGTCAAGACTGTTCAAAGTGAAGGTTAAATGTTAAATGTGTTAGGGGTTAAAATAAAATACAATGAATAAATGAAAACTATGCAACGCAGTTGTTTACACTTAAATTAAAAAAAAAATATTTGACCAAACTGGAGCAGGACTAGGGAGATGGATATGATTTAGATTTTTATTTCTGTGACTGTACACGACCCACCGGAGACACGACATAACAGCAGCAGTCGTCATTTTATTACACTGCTTAAGCAGCTCCTTTAATTTCACAGCTGATGCTGCTAAAAATGACTTTTCTTTTCTGGATCTCTGACAGCAGGACTTCAACCTCCGAACTTGTAAAGTTCTTCTTTTTCACTTTGCGATGTCATTTATGAATGGACATTTCCTGGTATMTGGGGCAGCAAACGTATATCCTTTTATGGTGTYTTTTGGGGTRGTAATTATGCTAAATCTCCTCTCCTCGTGCACGAGCAGCTGGAGACGCATTCATCAGTTTAGGCTCCTCATTTACACACTTTTCCTGAAGATAGTTTGTTGAATCTGACGTGGCATGTCTGTATGAACCCTTCGTATGAACAAAAGTAAGAGAAATTTAGGATAAGAATATGAACATGTTCTTGAATGAGGCCCGTTGTTTTCTGTTTTTATTTCACACAAAGTCCAAACTTCAAAGAAATTGGGGTTGTAGTCTTATTTATTCACCTATTTTTTTGTAAATTACTTTAGTAGCAAAAAGAATGATAGCAGTAGCATATTTTTAATTTCTCCGAAGCTTTTAATCTTTAATGCTTCACCAAATTTGGTTTTTATAAGACATGCAGGAGGAATTTATGAGATTGGTTTTCCCAAAATGTTCTTTTTATGAATAAATCCTCCTCTAGAACGTATGCTAGTGATTCTAAATGGCAGTAATTTGTTAGATTTTCATTTTTAGCTTGCTTCATTTTGATTTGTGTTGTTTTTTTTTCATGCAGACAGCACAAACTTCACACTGTTATGACACTGTATCCACAGTTTCTCTAACAGAGATGAGAACGGTGTTGCAATGTTGCCACAGTGCAATTAGTGCAGATGGAGACAAGAATTTACAGCGACTTGCATAAATAACCAAAAATATGTTTGTATGCTGGCATAAAGCAATGAATGAAGAGTTGAAATTTATTCTCTAAAGCATTGCTCACTGTGTCAAACATGTGACAAGTCTGTGATTTGCTCATTTATCTACTTTCAGAGTCATTAAACTCGGTGTTTTTTTACAAGATTGAGTTTCTGGCTTTTTAAATTCTGTTTTCTCCAAAACATGGAGACACAATAACACAGAGCAGACCAGATTTTAGTTTGCACACTTAAAAATACAGATATGGTTTTTAAAACTCTATCTGTTTAAGTAGAGTAATTAAAATATGTGACTTCTGGGATCACACTTGCTATGTTTAGATTAAATCTTGTTGAAACAAAGCATGTTGATGAACTCTAGGATCAAATAAAAAATTTTCACTGGACTGAGAAATCTATGTAAGTTACTGTTTTTGTAGGTCAGGAAGCTTCAAACAGGATGTCTCAAAAGCTTGATGTGAGTTTTGTTGCACAGAGTTGTTGTACACCGAGACCCCGGGACATCCACCTCCCCACAGTACAGGCTTTTCACAGCAGAGGCCACGGACTGTCATTTTCCTCACAAGCATCTTCCGCAGGAAACATCAAGAAAATGTTTCATTTTGAGGATGAGATGATCTGACACTCATTCATAAAGCACCTGGAAAACGGCCCTGTTGGGGTTAGGAAATGTCAGCAGTGACTGATACCAGCTGATTCTCGGTTGAACTCAGAGCTTTCCTTTTCTCAGGAGCAAGAAATCACTGTTTTCATCTTTTTTCATGTTAACGTTTTGAAACGAACAAACTACAAGATGCATAATCAGTTTACACATCCTATATTCCAAGTACTACGTTTACTAAGTGCTAAAACAAATATTTAGCAACTTAATAGCAGCTTGGTACGATCTAAACATTACTTTACCGATCAAAAAAAAAGTAACGCTAGACAACAAAAGTTTTATCTAATTTTAGAAAGTATTTTGTTTTTGTTGAATTTTACCTAATACCTTAATGTACTAAATTTGTGGAAAGTTGCTTCAGTCGTTTAAAATTCACAAGACACTAGTATATTTTTTAACTAATTTACAGTGGGTAAAATGAGTATTGAACACGTCACCATTTTTCTCAGTAAATATATTACTAGAKGTGCTAATGACATGAAATTTTCACCAGATGTCGGTAACAACCCAAGTGATCCATACGTACAAAGAAATCAAACCATAAACGTCCAGAAATGAATAAACGCCATAAACGACCACGACCAGGTGCTCCTCACAAGATTTCTGACAGAGGAGTGAAAAGAATTATCAGAAGAGTTGTCCAAGAGCCAAGGACCACTTGTGGAGAGCTTCAGAAAGACCTGGAATTAGCAGGTACGATTGTTTCAAAGAAAACAATAATTAATGCACTGAACCACCATGGCCTGTATGCACGCTCACCACACAAGACTCCACTGCTGAAGAAACAGCATGTTGAAGCTCCTTTAAAGTTTGCTAAATAACATTTAAACAAGCCTGTGTAATACTGGGAGAATATAGTCTGGTCAGATGAGACCAACATTGAACTGTTTGGAAGCCAGAATACACATCATGTTTGGAGGTCAAATGGCACTGCACATCAGCCCAAAAACACCATACCAACAGTGAAGTTTGGAGGTGGGAACATCATGGTGTGGGGCTGTTTTTCAGCRTATGGTACTGGHAAACTTMAAATAATTGAAGGAAGGATGAGTGGAAAAATGTACAGAGACATTCTTGATAAAAATCTGCTTCCATCTACCAGGATGATGAAGATGAAATGTGGCTGGACATTTCAGCAAGACAATGAGCCCAAACACAAAGCCAAGGAAACTCTGTTGGTTTCAGAGAAAGTGACAATAACAAGATATATCTTTAAGGTGCTCCAGTGGTGTATTTGAAATGAAAATTAGGGTGTATGCAGACCAGGAAAGTCCTTGGTCCACTTGTTTGGTCCGGACCAAAAGCAGACTTCATTTTTGGTGTGGTTTGCATTCATTGTGCTTTTTGCAAGTAGACTGTATTTTACAAAAAAATAAAATAAAAAAAAAGCCACGGAGGTGATGATCATTGCTCCCACTGGATAGAAATGAAGGGGGCAGGACAGAGCACAGACGGGAAATAAAGATGGTGCTGTTTATACAACTTGTTGGATCAATTTGAAGCCAGTCTGTATTCACACCAGAAGCGAATCGCAACCAGAAATTATTTGGAAGCAAACAGATTATCTCAAAAATGGGTCTCGGTCCACTTGTTTGGTTCACACCAAGTTCACGTGAGCATATTCCTACCTGCATAAAAGGTCCGGACCAACAGGGGAATCAATTTTTGGTCTGTTAAAAGTGGACCAAATGTGTCAGGTGTGAATACACCCCAACATTCTGACTGACTTGTTACAGGATAAAAAATGAAATCACCCACAATTAATTTAAAGTGATGAAGTTGAAAATCCAACATCTCCATGCTGATCACTTTATCATTAGAGCAAAGTGGTGAAGATTTATACTTGGAGTTTAATTGAACAAAATATGTATACTTAAGGCCTTAAATCTATTTTCATTTTAGAAAAAATACCGCCTATAACCTTATCAGGAAATAGGACTTTCAGAGAATAACACTGACAATTTATGAAAAATTATCACGTTTGTTTTGCACGGCTCCATTTTTTATATCGTTTCTTCCATCTTTCAGTTCCTGGTGTCTCTGACAGCTTGTGATACATAATTATAAAACTACACTCCATTAAATTGTTCATGTCTTTAGTGACAAAACATACAGAGCTCTCTATTGTCAGGTCATTTCTAAGGTTTACGTTTTCTAATGGATGTTATAAGTTCAAGGAGACAATTTACTTTCATTTCAACATATTGCACTTGAAAGCAGCTATCACAACAATCTCTCATTTGCATCTTTGTCATTTTCAGCCTTCCAGAAACAAAGATCAAGCCTAAGTGCACTTAGTGTGATGAAGTTCCCTTTAAACATGTAAATACAATGCATTAAGTTTTTAAGGTTAAAACATATGGAAATGCATTTTAATACCTGGTAAAATTACAAAACTGGGCTTGAAAGTTACAGAAAGAGAAGAAATAAGACATTTTATCATAAAAAAATCTTAAAAATGCATTATTTGTGTCTCGAATGTATTTAAACCAGTGCTCTACATGCTGATAAATGACCAGAACTCATTTAATTACATTACTCTTTAACTATTTAACATCTAAGAACCTTAATTGACAAATGCAACCATCAAGTTTTTTTCTCTGTTCAGCTCAGTAAGTTCTATTTACTCAGTGCTGCTGACATTCTGAGCAATTTGAATTTGTTTGAGTACACAGAAACAAAAGATATTTGCCTACATCTGAAACTGATTAAAGATGTTAGGAGCAAAACCTTCCATCTGATCAACAGCAAACTTAATCTTAAAGCAAATACTCATCTGATGTGACAACTTTACAGCCAAGCAGGGGTTTCATGATCCTGATTGTGTACCTTCAGATTCACACACACACACACACACACACACACACACACACACACACACACACACACACACACACACACACACACACACACCTTACAGTTCTGTTTGATTCAGATTCTACACAGTGCAAAGCGAACACGCTGAAAAATGCATGACTGTCCTAACGCATCGCTTTACTTTTCATTACGTTTGTGTTACAGAGACAAAAGTAACGGCATTTATCCATCTGTTAAAGCAAGGTCATCCAATCATTAGGAAAGTTTTCACTTCAGCCATGTTTGTTTTATGGCTTAAGTGATGCAGAG